AAAAAAAAAAAAAAAAAAAAAAAAAAAACCGAGCTGGGCATGTGCCTCAGTGGTTAAATGTTCCTGTGTTCAATCCCTAGTACCAAAACCTAATTAATTAATTACAGAGACCATAATCAAAATGAAAAAAAAATGCATGCTTGTTTAATGAAGTAGGTAATACTCTAGATGATTTATGCTATCTGGGTGAAGCTGAACAATATTCACCCGGTGTTTTAGATTTGCACATGACCTTGGTAAAAGCAATGAAATAGTATATAGAATTTTACTTTTAAGGTGGGCATGGGGGATGTAACTCAGTGATGGAGCACTTTCCTAGCATGGAAAAAGGCCCTGAGTTCAATCCACAGCACTGAAAGAAAGAAACAAAACCTGAGAATGGTGGCACATGCTGTTTGTAATCCCAACTACTTGGGAGGCTAAGGCAAGAGGATTGCAAGTTCACGACCAGCTGGGATAATTTAGTGAAACCCTGTTTCAAAGTAAATTTTTTAAAAGATGGGGGATATAACTCAGTGGTAGATCACTTGCTCAGCATGTACAAGGCCCTGGGTTCAACTCCCAATAGCAGAAAAAGGAAAAATAATCTCATTTTTATGGTTGTTAAAAATTCAAACCTCAGTATTAAAATCACTGAATAAATACAGTAATTAAAACTTTTCTAACATGTGGTCTTAACATCTGAAATTCAGCTAAATAAAATTATCGCTTTGATGGATTTGTATTTAGACAATTGAAATTTTTTACTTATATAATGGAATGTAGATTGTATAAAAGTTAAACAGGGGCATGACTCATCAAATGAAATATATTTATTCCAAAATGTGGTACAGAAACTACTCTTAATTTTTTTTTTCATTTTAAATATGACCAACTGTAAGGATGGCCTTAGGCCTTACYTCAGCAACTCCATTTTAAAAACTTCACTTGGCAACCTGTAGTCTCACTAGTCATGTCTATGGAGCCCTCCAATATGATCATCAGGCATAGCCCTGACATAAACAAGTCACTTCTCCCCACCCTGACAAACGCAGAGGGAAGTCTCTGTCATGTTGTCCTCAGATGCTTTAACCCCAGGGCAAATGACATCACTGAGAAATATGGTGGCAGCTGATAGGGATTGAAAGAAGCCCCAAAATTTAGTATAAATGATGGAGCAAATGAACAGACATTCAGCCAGCTGACACTGAAGCCCTCATGCTGGAGAGCCTGATGAGGACCTTGAACTGACATCCCAACTCTTCTCATTGTTTGCCTGATCCTCTGCATCTTCCTCACCATTCTCAAACTCTACAGCCACATCTTGGCCCTGGTGAGAACTGCAACTTCTCCCTATGGCCCTCAACCAGCCATCAGCTCCACCCCAGGGGAAGACTGCCTTGGTTCCTGATCTGATCACGGGGGCCTGAGTAAGTGTACATCTGCTGGACTTAAAGCCTAGGGCTTCAGACTTTTGACCTGACACTTGAGCTTGGCATGCAGAGGGAATGTCTATCAGGAACCTCTGATGATTAAGTGTGTTTGCAGTGCTTAGAATTAATCTAGAATTGTTTGCTGTGAATTGATTATGTCTATTGCAGTGCCTAGCATTAAGGATTGTCGTTTTCTTGATTAGGAACCTATAGAGTGAAATTGTATTGCATTAYTTGAATGAATAAAGCATTGAAAAGGGCAAAAAAAGCATGGACATTCTTTCTCTCCCTCCACTGCATAAGTCGCACCATTTGCCCATCACAACACCAACATTCTGAAAAAATTATATTTTTTCCATTAATATTTATATTATACTCAAGAAATTTTTAAATAATTGAGTCTTATATTTAAGAGAAGACACAATCACTTTAAAACCAGATCTTACTAATCTTATGTAATAGCCAGAAGTAATAAAATACTTTATAGTTAAAATTCAAAAGTAAAACCACTGTGAGAATCCCTACTTCAGTGTTGAACCCAAAT